TCAGCAGCCATCCTATGGTGTAGAGCAGCATATGGCTGGTGATCTACCATGGAGGTGAGGGGTAGCTCTAATTATGCAAACAACCTCAGCCCCAGAGCTGGAGGTTCAAGATCAAGCACCGTCATAAATAACCTGGCAGACAAGCGAAGCAATGTTGTGAGACCAACAGTACAGGGGAGGACAGCGTTCCCACCAGGAAGACACATAAAGGCTGGAATGAAAGGAGGAAATGCAAGGTCTCCTGGTGCTGCACATTTTACAACAGGACTCAGGTTTGGCAGACCCCAAGATTTATTTTCTATTGACGTAAAACTCAAGGCATGTGTGTCCTGAGGACACAGCGCAGTTTGCAAAATTACAAGCTAAAGTGAATGAGTATCCGGGTGGAGGTAGCAGGAAGCAAACCAGATTTGGAGACTGTACAATCAGAAGGGACTTGTGATCATGGAGGCTGACCCCCTGAATAAACGTGTCTCAATTAGAGCAGCATTTTTTAGAAACAGCAGTGAGGGAAAGTAGAAATGGGAATAAAGAGGGAGGATGGACAGCTCATCTAGCTCTTGTGGCCAGAAGCATTTTTAGGGCAGATCATTATGGAAGGTCACTGCTCACGGGATTTATTCTGAACTCAACTCACTTTATTCTGCACCAGCGAAGGATAAGGACGCCTCTGGGTTTTACTGATCAAATGCCCCTTCCATAAGTCTTCATCCCAGAGATGTGTTTGTAGCAAGAATGACTCTTTTTAACACAGCCCACCCAGAGACATGCAAGTCATATTCATCCTACCAAGGAAAACCACTATGCCTAAATGAATTAGGAGCAATAAAACAGTACATTCAACCACTTAGACACAATGACTCCACTCAGCAGGGGAAGCAATGAAGCCCCTCTCGTCCTTTGAGAAGTGCCCCATTGTCTGACCTGTGACTTCTCATGCAGATCACCTGCTTCCTCTATTGAAGGCCCATAAAAAGGCCAATAGCTCTACTGCCCTTGGCTTTCACTTAAAAAAGCAGAGCAGATTAGCTGACCACACAGCAGGAATTGGGGATTTGCAGACCGAAAACATGCAAGGGCAATGGTCCAAGTCAACACCTGATGCAAGAGTACAATCGTTTGGCATGCACAAACACTGACTGGCACACATACCGTGTTAGGGGACCCCTGGGTAAGCCTACTGTTTCTTCTGTTTGTCCTGCTTGAGTCAAATGAGCCATTTCTATGTTACCAAAGAGGTTAACCTGAACTACTCACCCCTTCCCCTGTCCCCAAAGGGAAATTACTACATGGGAACACAAACCTGAGTTGCTGATAGCAGTTATACCATCAGGATATACTGATAGGGACACACATGGATTCCAGGATGATGCTTCTGCCTACTTCAAAGTCAGGCCAGTTCATCTTGCTGCTGTAGCATCTTTTTTATATATCAGAGCTGGAAGCAGGTTTTGTGATGCAGGTAATACAGCCAACTAAGACTAAGGCCAAATATTGTACAGTGGGTCTCCATACGAAAATAGTGAAAGCCAAATTTCTACAGGCAAAGGCCAGGGTACTAGACTAACTGCTACCCTCTTATATCTCTTGTGGAGTTTTAAAAATCAGATGTGTGGACAAGTTTAGCTTCACTTTATGCACCTTCAACAGAGTCGTAATGGGTTTGTGTTTTCCATTAGAGACTGCCTGATGGATTTCCAGCCAAACTGCCAACCAATCACTTGCTAATTGAGGTAGGTTAAGAGTTGTTGGAGCCTGCTTACCTCAAGCCCCAGCCAACTCATGCAAAGCAGGGTGGCCAATTTATTATTTTTGAGTTGGGGGGGGGGGGGTAGCAGCATTCTTCTCCTCTATTTGGATTGAAAAAACAAGCCAGCCAG